TAAAATCTAATAATAGTAACGGAATTTTATTAATAGTACAATATGCTAGTAATAGGATGTATTTGTCACATTCCATTCCAGTTTACATTCCAGTGATGACGATGATAATTTATAACATTAGCTTGTGATTTATGATGCAGTGAGGAATGCAAACAATAGCACTAATAGAATCAGTGAGACAGGAAGAACGATCAGTACACTAGAAACACATCAACAGAATATGTGCAAGACTATAGATCTGCTCATTTGGCCCAATTTTTGAGAAACTATGAAAATTCATAAAAAATCCAATTTTGATCGGAATCAGCTCAAACTTTGTACACAACATAAGTACATGTATATGCATCAGGAAATGTAGTAAAAATAGAGAAATCTTTTCTTTTTATTTTTAGCAAAATTTGGCAGATGACCCTGTACTATAGTACAGGGACTTTGACCCGATTTTTGAGAAACTTTAAAAATTTATAAAAAGTCTAATTTTGATCGGAATCAGCTCAAACTTTCTACGCAACATAAAAACATGTATATGTATCAGGAAATGTAATAAAAATTGAGAATTCTCTTCTTTTCATTTTTGGCAAAATTTGGCCAAACCCACTGTACTATAGTACAGGGACTTTTGCCGGATTTTTGAGAAACTTTAAAAATTCATAAAAAGTCTAATTTTGATTGGAATCAGCTCAAACTTTCTACGCAACATAAAAACATTTATATGTATCAGGAAATGTAATAAAAATGGAGAAATCTCTCCTTTACATTTTTGGCAAAATTTGGATGATGACACTGTACTATAGTACAGGGACTTTTGCCCAATTTTGGAGAAAATTAAAAAATTCATAAAAAATCCAGTTTTGATTGGAATCAGATAAAACTTTCTACACAACCTAAGTACAAGTATGTGTATCAGGAAATGTAATAAAAATGGATAATTCTCTCCTTTAAATTTTTGGCAAAATTTGGCCAGTGTCACTGTATAAGGGACTTTCGCCTAATTTCTGAGAAAAGTTTAAAACTTTTAATTTTGATCGAAATTAACTCAAACTTTCTACACAGCATTAGAACATGCTATGCATCAAAAAATGTAATAAAATTGCATATTATAATTACATCAAACTAACAGTGCACAGTTAATCTTAATGCTCCATTAACTAAAGACTATAAGCACAAGAAAGAGAGAAAGAGGAAGAAGGAGCAAGTTCAAACAGTCAACCAGACTATAACGTAACTATTATCAACTACAAACGTGATACCTACTGCACACAAACATGAGATAAACAGTGAGAAGTAGGGACAGCTTCTCACACACACACACACACACATCTTGATACATATACACATTCAATGTACATACATACATACATACATACATATATACATGTACAAGTACATGTACATACACGTATTATGCTTTGATGGTGGAATAACAAGTCATGACTGATGATGATGAATAAGCAAGTCATGATAGTGTAAATATGGGATCTGTTTATGGAGCGGCCTTTGATAGAATGGCTTCACAATACATACACAATATACCCATCATTAGATGAACCATAGAAAGACTATCTCTTTGTAGTAATGACTACTGATAGTTATATACTTAGCAACTTTGTTGTGTTAAAATTATTTAACGCAAAAAAAAACATCAATAATAATAATAATGATAGTAATAGTCTTAAGGCCATTCTACACTAGCACTTCTAATGTGCATTGAACTGGTTTGGAACCGGTTCCAGTCATTCCACACCTGATGTGCATTGACTTCAATACACATTAAGCCAAACCACTTCCATATGTGGTTTGAATGCGCATTCAATAGATAACCAATGGCAGCTGGATCAGAAATGCTATCAAAATATACATGATCCTGATGATGGTGTGGAATCAATTGATGCCCATTCAATGCGCCCGACTTCTGGTTCAAGTGTAGAAAGGCCTATAGTATTAATACTGTACTTGATTAAACAATATCCCA